GTTGAAGTCCACAAGTCTTAAAGTTGTCAAGTTTGAAAACCCCTGGACTATAATAACCTTCAAGTGCCATTAGAAGTGCCTGAGTCTTCTCATCACTTCAGGGGTTGTTAAAAGTTATTTGTTGCATGTTTATAAAATTACACATAGTTTACTAGTCAAGGAAGGAGAAGTGAAGTAGGTGGATGTGATCCTATTTAGAGTGTAAGAAAAGGGAGAGTTTTTTCATTGACTTTCCACTAAAAGGTTGTAAAAGTCAAGACAGTCTCTGCTACTGGATGATCAAAGCCCCAGTCTCTTTTCACAGTGACATACATAAAAGTAGGTAGGGGTTCAATTACATGGTCACAGATGCCTTCTTGACTTTTTGTGACACACATCCCACAAGAAGCCCTGATTTGTAAAGGATTTAAAAAAAAAAACTGAAATTGGGATCAGTGGCCAGTTAGATTTTCTATTAGGAAAAGCCAGTAATGACTGCAAGAAATTAATATATTTGACTATTGTGAATAAATGCAACCCATCACTGAAGCTAATGTCACAATGCACTCAGACAAACACATACACACACAGTGTAAATTGAAACGTATTCATGGTTCAGAAAAGAGTATCTTCTTCTTCTTCAGTGAGTACATTCCATTCTGAACCCTCAAGCAGAATATGTAAGAACTGCAGTAAGCCATTCTCAAAGAGTCCTGTATATATTTGCTCTAGTCCCAGAAACTGTCCCTACAACAAGAATTCTTCCATATCAAAATTACAATGATAAAGTTGGCCCTGCAATATACTCCTGCTCAGATTCTCCGCTGTTGCAGTTAATAGTGTTTTTATTGCTGTATTATAAAGACATATTTCATTTGCTGAACCATAAACTCTACTCAAACAGGCTTCTACAGGGGGTATCTCATCTTTGCTTCCTGCAATCTGAAAATGAAGGACTTACTGTCTCTCATTGCTGGCCTGAGATTTGCTGCTCTCCATTCATCATGCAGTTGCAATCTGTTCTGGGAAGCAAAATTAAAGCACTGAAGTGCAAGCAGCAGAATGGTTAGAACTACACAAGAAGTCTGCTGATCCCTTGATTTAAATTGGAGTGTGCTGTTCTTGGGGGTGGGGGGATTTCTCACTTGATAGAAGAAATGTAATAGCACCTTGATACTCATGTTGATTTCAGGGAGAAAAAAGGGGACCTGGAAAATGTGCACCCAATTGTCAGAACAAAGAAATATGAATTTGTATACAAAATACAAATTACAAAGGAATAGGATGGATCAGGTTTAAGTTTGGGAAAAAATGAGAAACTGAATAAAACTGGGAGTTAGCACATTCACTGGGTCTCAATAATCTAATGTTTGATAAGCCTTTATTAGGAATCTGGTTATTCAATCTATTAGTTATATTATATACCTGACATGAAGTTCAGATAGTTAATGAGTATAACACCCACATTTTGTAAATACAATTCCACATACCTTCCAGAGAGTTTCATTTCTTTGAAAAGTGAATCTGATTTGAGCTGCCAGGCACCAGTAAGGAATGTGTTCAATCTCATCAAAAGCAATTTTCCCAAAGATTAGTTGTGTGAAGGACAGCAGTCCCAGGAGCATGGTGTGAAACTGAGAATAATGGGACCAATGGAGAGGCCAAGGTTCAAAGACCCTGACAGGAGACCACATCTGTAGTACTCATGATTCTAAGTGCATTCCATTTATAAAGCATTTCAGTAAAAAGCAATAAGAAGCAATATCTCAAGCTAGCTAACTGAAACTAGGTGGATTATGTTCAGCATTTTTGTTCTATCCATGATAGGAAGATTAGGGTTTGGGGGGGTGGGCTTCCTCAAATGAAAATACCGTCCTTGATTCACTGGGCAAAAATGTTAGATTCAATCCAATGATCATACCCAAACTTTCTCTTTAGGAATATTTACAGGAATATCTTTAGGGGTTAACAATTCATTTTAGCAGAGTATTATTGGTGGTTTAGGAAAGTATGCTTTGTTTTGTTTTTGAAGATTAAAAGAAAAATTACAAACATATCTCCAAGTACTGTTCCTCAATTTAATATCCAAAGATCTTTCAGGCTTTGTGCATTATAAAACTAATTAACCATCAAGGTAGCTGTTCTCCTGAGATTTAAAGGGTAACAAATTCAATCTGCCTGTCTTCTTTTGCATTTCCCTCAAACATCTGTTGCAGAATTCCAGAGTTGAGCATTTGGCTCACTTTGGTGTGGAAAATTCCTATATATTGTAATTTGTGCAGAGAAATGTAGTTAATGGTGTAGATTTAAGGACCACATTAAAATTCTCCAGAAAAAATGTTGAAATATTACTCAACTTTATGAATTATAATAGCTAAACTCTCTAAATAAAGCCCACATTGATAGCATGACTTGTAGTTTGCACTTTTGAAGAATAAGGTTAACAAATATCCAGAATTTCTTTTTTGACTCTTATGGATCCCCCTAGTTCAGGGGTGGGCAAACTACGGCCCGTGGGCCACATCCGGCCCGTTGGTCATTTTAATATGGCCCGCCTCTGGAAAAAAAAATTCCCCTCTGAAAAAAAAAATTGGGGCCAGCCAAAAGAGACCCCGCGCCGCGCGCCAAAAAATCGTACAACACGGAGCTGGGCAGCCGCTTCCCTGGTGGCGGGCCTGAGGTCGCCGCCCGGGGAACGCCCACTGCTTTCCCTCGCCAGGGCCGGGCAGTGGCGTGTTGCCCTGCGCCGTGTGGCCCCCGCCTGGCAGCACGCTTCTCGGTTGGTCTTCTCGGCCATACAGAACAAACAGGCAGAGAAGGAGACCAGCCGGCTGGTTGGGGGAAACTTTCTGCGCCGAAAGAGGCAGCTACTAATCTCCGGCTTTGCTCCGCTTCTCCAATGGTCCAGCACCACCCTGTTCTATGCGCCGGCTGCTCGGACCTGCTGTGCCTGACACATAGAACAGAGCATGCTGCAGACATCTCGTGACAAGCCCCAGGACATGTGGTCACCTGCTGGCTGGCCGGGCCAGGCCGGGCTGGAAGAGGCACGTTCTCCAGGAGAAGGAAGAAAGCGTGCTCCGGGAGGGCGGGTGCCGGGCAGGTGGGCGGATGTTCCGGGACCACTTAAAGGTCAACTTTAAGAGTGCCCCCATGGAAGAAGCCGAGCAAACGTAGTGGCGGCAGGGGTGACGGGGCATGTGTGTCCCTCCACAAGGAGTATGAAGGGAGGCAGACAACGAACCTCTCAGGAAAAAAGTAGGTGCCAAAGCCCTAACTCTCACCTGGGAGGGGACCGTGGAGGGACCCATCACATGCCCCTGTTGCCCCCGCCGCCTCTACTTTTGTTCTTGGCTTCTTCCATGGGGGCGCTCTTAAAGTCAATCTTTAAGAGCTGGAAGACGTTTTGTTAGATCGCCACCAACTCATTGTTGGGAGAGGTGTAGCCCCTGAATACACGAGAAGTCTTGGGCAAAGTTCTCGCATCCGTGCGGTGTTTGCCTCCCTTCATGCTCCTTGTGCATGCCGGGAGCACCTAACTGGAGCAAAAGAGAGTGAAGTTGACTGCTATGAAATGAGCACTTTGCCTTCCCCTCTTGCTCCTCACAGTTGCCCTGAGCTGGTGCGGTTCTTTACTTGGGCAGCCATATGCCCGCAGCAGCGCCCGCAGCAGCAACAGGCAGTTCTGCCCGGGCTCCGCTCAGGTGTCCGGCTGGGGCTGTCAGGAGTTGCTACCGCCGGCGCAGCTCCGCGTGGCTCCAGTCGCATTGCCTTGGGAAGGGAAAGGCAAAACCAGGAGCCGCTGAGCCTGAGCCTCCGGTGCCGCTGCTCCCGTTGCAAAGCGCCACCGCGGCTCTTCCTTTTTGCCTTTCCATTCCCGAAGCAACGCGGGACTGGAGCCGCGCGGAGCTGCGCCGGCGGTAGCAACTCTTGACTCAGGGGGCCTCCGAGGAGAGGGGAAGGAGGAGAAGGAGGGGGGGGCGATTCCCGAAAAATCTTGTGCTGACCCGGCCCGTCTGTCAAATTTTAAAAGTCAATGAGGCCCCCGAGCCAAAAAGTTTGCACACCCCTGTCTTAGTTGCTCTTCTCTGGACTTTTTCCAAAGTCTCAACATCTTTTTTTTGTAGCACGATGACCAAAATCAGTTGAAGGATTCCAGGTGTGGTCTTACGAGGGTTTCATAAAGCAGTACTAATACTTCACCTGATCTTGATTCTATGCTTTTCTCACTATCCAGGCTATAACGCCACAGTTTTAGCCTACGGGCAGACGGGCTCCGGGAAGACCTATTCCATGGGCGGGGCTTACACCACTGACCAAGAAAACGACCCCACAGTCGGAGCCATTCCACGAGTCATCATGATGCTTTTCCAAGAGCTGGAGCAGAAAGTGGATTGGCAGTTTACCTTGAAAGTCTCCTATTTGGAGGTAAGTTTCTATTTAGAGCCAAAGGATGCCAACTCTGAGTCACAGGTCTGCTTATTCAGGTTTTTTTTTCTTGAAATTCAAACAAGGCTGTAATTAATTAATCACATTCTCCAATTCAATATATTCCCGGGCAAAAGCTCTGGTATTTTAGTTCAAATCTTTTAAAGATAAGAGTTGGAATGGACTTTTACTTTCAAACTGCTGCACTGCTCTTCCAGATTTCCTCTTCACCACCCAGCTAGGTAACATCATCAGTGATAGAAGTGAATGGAGTTAGCAGAGATGAGGAGAAAGAGGAGGACTGAGGGGGTCCTTGATTGCTCCGAGTTAGGTTGTTTTCTTGAAGACATTTCATAACCCCACTAGGTAACAACGTCAGGGCTAGAAGGGAGGAGGGTTGGCAGAGATGAGGAAGAGGAGGACTCTGGGGTCCTTGGTGCCCTCTGACCGTGGCTGTTTTCTTGCAGACGGTTCATGAACTAGCTAGGTAACCTCATCAGGGCTAGGTGTTTATTTTAAGCAGCCAGCCAGCCAGCTAGCTAGCTGTTTGGTCGATATTGACTTATGCTTCCAAGCTAAAACAGTTCCTTATAAACTCTATGTTAATTCACTTGAAAACAGATTCTACCGTCAGCTAATGTAAGGCCATGCAGCTTTTATTTGTTGCAGGGGTGGGGAACTATGGCCCTTTTACATTCTCTGAACTTCAACTCCCAGAATTCCTGAGCCAGCATGGCTATCTCAGGAATCCTGGGAGTTAAAAGGCCATAGGTCATTTAAGCCTGGCTAGCTTGGGAACCCTGGGATTTGAAGTCCGCAGGTCCTTAAAGGGGCTATAGTTCCCCACTCCTGATGTATTGCCTGCTCTATTCAGCTTGATTTTCTTTTGATGCCTTCAGATTTACAATGAAGACATCTTAGATCTGTTGGCAGCGGGCAAAGAAAGAGCTCAGATAAGCATTCGGGAAAACCCCAAGGGAGACATTAAGGTAGGATTCTTTCTGAATACTTTACTAATTTTAAGGGAGCAACATCGAGTATTTAGAACTAAGGAGAAATTTCCTAACGGGGAGAACAATCAGTGGAACGACGTTGTAAATGCTCCCACATTGGAGGGTTTAAGGAGAGATTGGACAACTATTCAGGCCTCCTGCCTTGAGCAGGTGGCTGGACTAGATTTAGAAGCCCTCTGGGTTCTCTTCCAGCCCGATGGTTCTATTTCTCAATAACTGCAAGTGGGGAATCACGGTCTTGTGACTCGAGGGCTGGAGCCCTGAAACAAGTCTTCATGAAAGAGGATAAAAATAACCTTTTACAAAGTCCCAGGCGTGGGCCAAAATTCAGCCCGGCGTAGTTCTTTTTTTGTGTGTGTGAAAAATTTATTGATTTTTAAAAACAAACATAAACAAACAAAACATAAAACATGAAAACATAAAACATCTTTTTTGAAAGCAGCTTGATCCCGGGTTACATCTCTTCGTACAGACACAAATTCAAGTTCATGCTCATTTTTATATTTCATTCCATATCTTATGACCATTCTACATTTTCTATATAGCTTCTCCCCTCTTTTAACTTTCTTAATTTTATTTTGTTTATTTCATCTCAATTCAAATCATTGTACTTATATTCTTTGTCTGTCCTGTTTCAGCTGTCTATTATCTTTTCTCATTAAACAAAATTTCTCCTGTAATCACTGATTGGAGTATGACGCCTTTATATCTTTCCCCTAAAATTATAACACTTAATATAATACATAACTTCCATTCGGATTCTGCTTGGTACATTCTAAAACTGCACACTGTATTTTTTAGAAAAGAAAAATATATATAAATATATAATATAATTAAAACAACAATCCATGCCAATTCAATTCTATCATTAATATTAATATTCATTTAAATCTTAAACATTTTACACATTACTTTTCAAATAAGTATCATACTTCTATGGGAACACTTATAAACTTTTCAGTTACTTCCCCCCCACTTCACTTATATTTTATAAAACATTGAGTAGTTAAAATGTTCCCATTCCTTCCTAATGCAATTCTCTCATTTATTTCATTTCATTTATTTTGTTCACAAAAGTTTCACTGAATTACACTGACTATTTTATTCCACTTTTTAATCATATATTGTTTCCAATTTTCTAACATTATTTCTATTACAAATATAACAATACAATCATATGTACCTTTACAGAATCCCTTTTTCAGTTAAATTTTCACCCATTATCTGTAAATAAGTCCTGTTTCTTTACATCTTGCTCCAAACCTTTGTAACTTCTCTTCCCTTCCTTCTTCCCTTTCTTCTTCTCTCTCCCCTTTTTACCCCCCTGTCTCCACCTCCATTTCCCTCTTCTGTATTCCCCTTTTCTGTTGCTTTCCAACATTATGTCCACTTTTCAAATTATTTTTCCCTTTTTTGGCTGTTTTTTTTAAGTCTTAAATTCTCCATTCTCTTTTCCCTCTTTCCCCTTTCTTCCCCAGATAGAGTTACTTGTTCATTAAAGATGGCTTCTTCTTTGTCCCAATCTTCTTGTTGCGCAGTCTTTTCTTGTTGTTTCTTGTAGACACAAATCGCCATTTCTAAGAATTGAAAAACAGAGCCAAGAGAGCCCTTCCCTTCTTGTTCCTCTTCTTTGTATTTTTTAAATTCCATTTTCAGTTCATCCACAAGTAATGCCATTGTAAAAAATTTTTCCAAACAACCACCCAAGTGTTTTTAGTCATCCAAATATAATTTCCAAAAGTCCCAAAGTCACCAAGCAATCCAAATACACACAAGCTGTTTCTTTTAACACTTTCTTCTTTTTTCACTTTCTCTTCCTGGGGTTACTATTTAGTTGCAAAGTTCCAGTTAAAATGTATCTTTTAGAAGTCTTGTTAGGATTTAATCAAGTTCAAGCAGTCTTCTTCCAAATCCTACTCTTATTCTTTTCTTCTCCCTTCCCACTTACAGCAAAGAAAAAATAAAGATTTTTTAGTGTTCAGAAATCCTTATTATCCCCTTGACATTTAATTATCCAGTTTAATTACCTATTGATGCCAAAGCGGGATTTTCTGATTTCTCATTCATCTCTGTTCACTGTCAACGTAAGGAAGGAGAGTGAAAAAAAAACTTTCCCTTTTCACTTTCATTCGCTGCTTCCGAACCTTCTTTGGGAGCGATGTTATCTTTTATAAAATTTAAATTCCAGGGTATCTTGGTTGTTGCTTTTTATCCCGGTCAGCCAAAACTTTCACTTCTTAACTTCCTCCTGCACTGTCTTTTCCGGTTGAGTACTTCTTTGAGGCGGCCATTTCTGACCGCCGCTCTTACCGCCTTCGGGAAAGGGAGTTTGGCCAGCTGAGGAGGAGAGATGCAGCTCTCCTCGACCCTGCTGGCGATCTCCCCCGTCTTCACCACCTCTACGGGGTGGCTTAGCCCCGTAGCCAACTGGCTCGGGGTGCTCCAGCGGCGAGTCCAGGCAGAAACCGTGCACGATCGCGGATTCCTGCCTGCCGCCGGAGCCCTGAAAACCGGAAGTCTGCAGCCCGGCGTAGTTCTGAACACATAAGGAATGCCATCCTCAGGAACACGAGGTTTTTTTTTCTCTTGCTTCCACCCACAGATTTGGGGTCTCACAGAGCACATGGTGACAAGTGCACGTGAGACCGTCCTCTGCCTGGAACAAGGCAACAACTCCCGAACGGTTGCAGCAACCGCGATGAATACGCAGAGCTCCCGCTCCCATGCCATCTTCACCATGTGCGTGGAGCAGAAAAGCAAGGCTGACAAGTAAGAAAGGTGTCAGGATAACCAACCTTTTTATGGGGCTTGCAGTCTTTTTTGATAAGTTTGGTCTAGTGCTGAAGGCACCAGGCTAGAAACCAGGAGACAGTGAGTTCTAATTCTACCTCAGGCATGAAAGCCAGCTGGGTTACTTTGGGTCAATCACTAGGGAACTGGGAGTTCTAGTTCTACCTGAGGCCTGAAAGCCATCTAGGTGACTGGGCCAATCACTAGGGGACTGTGAATTCCAGTGCCACCTTAAGCATAAAAGCTAGCTGGGTGACTTTGGGCCAAACCCTCTCTATTCAACTCACAGGGTTGTGGTGGGGAAAACAGGAGGAAGAGAAAGGATTGTCTATGTTTGCCACCTTGAATTGTTTATAAAAACGATAAAGGTGGAATTAAAAAGAAATCTAAATAAATAGGAGTTATTCTAGGACCACAAGAGATATTGAAAGACAGGAACACCCCCCCCCCCGCCCCCCGTGGGTTTCCTAATTTAATTAAATTGGGTCCCTGGGAGATCCAGTTAAATGTTTGAAATACTCCACATTAAAGCTTTTCTCAAATCCCAGCCTTTGCCATTGGTTGCCTTCTGAGTTAACAGAATGTTTCCGGTTTAGGAACGTTAGCTTTCTTTCAAAATTGCATCTGGTTGACTTGGCTGGTTCGGAGAGGCAAAAGAAGACCAAAGCAGAAGGAAACCGTTTTCGAGAAGGTAAAAAGGGGGAAATTACCAGGTCAAGATCTATATAGCTCCTCAACCATCCAGGTTGTGGTTGTCCCAAAGGTGTCTTTTTTTTTTTTTCAAGAGGCAACTGGACTTTCTGGTTTTTCTTTGAAGGTGTTTTGCTCCTCATCCAAGAAGCTTCTTCAGCTCTGGCTGGATAGTGGGGAATGGAAGGATTTATACTCCTGCAGACAACTGGTCATTTGCATCCTTTTACAGAGTCAGACCCTTCCGTTCCCTTCCATCCCTTCAGAGCTAAAGATGCTTCTTGGCTAAGAAGCAAAACGTTTTCAAAGAAAAACCAGAAAGTCCGATTGCCTGTTGAAAAAAGCGTCTTTGGGACTATCAAATCCAGGCAAAAATCTCTTTGGTGGAGTGGAACTGCTAGCAGTTGTTAACCCCGAGAAATGGCCCTTTAATTTTTCTTTTATGTTACTAAAAAGGAAAGAGCTGAACGAGCTGGTTTACAGATAGTAACTTGACTTATGACACTATCTCTTAGTGACCATTTGAAGTTACAACTGACCTCCCAAGATCTGCTTACTATAGGTAGCCCTTGACTTACAGCCATTCATCTAGTGAACGTTGGAAGTTATGACCAGCACTGAAAAAAGTGGCTTATGAGCGGTTTTCACTCTGACAATTGTCGCAGCGTTCCCATGGTTACGGGATTAAAATTTGGGCTCTTGCAAAGTGGTTCGCATTTATGAGGTTGCAGTATCCCAGGAACACGTGGGTCCATTTTGAGGCCAAGATTCTCTTAACAACCATGTTACTAACTTAACAATTGCAGCGATTCGTTTAACAACTGTGGCAAGAAAGGTTGGAAATGGTGCCTAACTCATTTAACAGCGGCCTTGCTTAGCGATGGAAATGCTGGGCTCAGTTATCATAAGTTGAGGAGTACCTGTTTCAAAGTTAAAACATATACACACAAACACACACACACACACACACACACATGGTTGCATGAATACGTTTGGGGGTTTGTCAAAGCAATCTTGCCCGAAATTGATGTTCACTTCCGATTTTAGTCATAAACACCTGTAGCAAACCATGGGTTCTCTTAACGACTGCGATATTTATGACCGCCACAAAAAAGGTTAAAAAAACAAATCAGAACCCGAGTCCGATTACATAGTGACTCACTTTACAACTGTCAACTCTTCCAGGCTCCGTTACGATCCTAATTCAAGGACTGCCTGTACCTTGCAGAAGGGTTGTTCCAGCATACCCGTCTCTTCTTCCCGAAGGGACACGAAGGTCTCGCTCGGATTGCATCTGATGACCCATTTCCTTCCTTAACTGTCTGCAGGAATTAACATCAACAAAGGGCTGCTTTGCCTGGGAAACGTCATCAGCGCCCTGGGAGACGAATCCAAGAAGGGCAGCTTTGTCCCTTATCGTGACTCGAAGTTAACCAGACTTCTTCAAGGTGAGAATGATGGCGTCTGCTGGATCTCCAGCCTAGGTTTCTGCAGCAGGCTTGCTTTCTCGGCTGCCGTAGAAATGGAGAGGAGGAGATGGGCATTTGGGATGGGGAAGCGACCTGGTGTCTAGTAGTCCCATGAAAACCGGGAGGGGGGTTTGCATTCATGAATTAGGGCACCACTGAGAGGAATTGTTTATACTCTGTCGAGGCCAACTGTCCTGAGACGCCAGATGCGAGAAATACCTGCAGAGGAGTTTTCCCATAGCATCGTACTGGATGTTGGTTTGGGGTGACTTTTAGTGTATAACAGTCACGCGTTTTGAATCAGATCTTGCCTTGCTTTCACTGCTACCACACTTAGTAAAAGTACCTCTTCTCTAATCCAATGGAGTTGGGGGGGTTTTCTTTCTTGAGTTTTGAACGTGCTGTGGCCTGTCAGCCGCCACCCTCTCCAGCAGCCGAATCAGAGGAAGAGGCATGGGAGTCAGGGTCACCATCAAGGCAACCTGAGAGCTCCGAGAGGGAAGAGAGAATGGAGCTGGCAGAGAGAGAGGCAGAGCCTGGGCCCTCTGTCAGCCCTCAGATGGAGAGTCAACAGCCCCCAGGTCTGGAGGTGGCTGATGAAAAAGAAGGGTCCAGTGCCTGACGTGCAGATGGTTAGAAGGCAGAGGAGAGGAGAGCAGTGGAAATCTATGGGCCGGTCCTCGGGATGGAAGAGCCCCCGCTGTTAGTGAAGCCCTACTCTAGCTCTGGGGATAAAAGGCAGGGGGTGTAGATGACAATTATTCATCTCCTGCATGGATGGACTTGTTAGCCAGCCGGGGCTGCCGCCGCTCCCAATAAAGGAATCTTTGAGTTCACTTCAGAGGGTTTGTTGTGTTCGGGGAGCTGGGTCAGAATAGAATGGAGGCAGGCCTTACAGATGGTCCGGCCACTCTGTGGAGGGAGCGGAGACCACCGGGCTTCTTGCTGCTCTTCGTCTCAGTAACTCCACCGAATCTGTTTCCGTTTCAGACTCCTTGGGGGGCAACAGCCACACGCTGATGATTGCCTGCGTGAGCCCAGCAGACTCCAACCTTGAAGAGACATTGAACACCCTCCGCTATGCCGATCGGGCCCGAAAAATAAAGAACAAGCCAATTGTGAATATTGACCCTCAGGCGGCCGAAATCACCCACTTAAAGCAACAGGTAAGACGGGCACAGTCTGGCACGTTGGCTCGGACATGCGAGGTGGGCGTTATAAAGTTGTGAGAAGTCTTCTCATTGACTTGGGACAAGCTCCAGTTCGATAAAGTCTGGTAAAATCCTAAAATTCAGGCCCTTGGGGTCTCTGTTCTGGTCTCCAGGTCCAAGAATTGCAAGTGTTACTGCTTCAAGCGCATGGGGGAACTCTGCCGGTGTCTCTTCGGTAAGGAATGAGGGTCCCTAAGTCCCTGGAGACTTGGAAGGTTTTTGTCGTCCCGTCCCGGTATTGATTGTGGTATCCTTGGTGCTCTCTGAGCTGGGTTGTTTTCTTGCAGACCTAATAAAATAAAGGTGGGAAAAAAGATTTTAGCACTAATGATGTTACCTTGTTTGGTCATGAAAGGTCTGCAGCAAAATCACCAAGCTTAGAGACCAGCAGGGACCTCACAGTGCTTCCTCTCCTCCACCCCTTCCTCCTCCACTCCACAAAGTCCCCTCTTTTGTAGCACTGACGTTGTTACCTAGTTGAGCCATGAACCGTCTTTGAGAAAACCACCAAGCTTAGTCCAACCCTCAGCTATAAATATCCTCCTGAACTTGATTGCACAGGGCTTCTGAAGTAGGTGATTTATGGTTGGAGGGAAATTAAATTTTTTCTAGAGTCATTATCTCCAAACTAAGTGATTCTTCCCACTCTCAGAATAGGAAATAAAGCCATTAGCCTAAACGGGACTTATGGGTGACTTTTAGGGAACTGCCCATCTTCTCTCTGTGTATTATTTAAAACATTATTAAAACAGCCTCCCATCTTTCAACTAACCCGGGGCAACTTCCCATTCAACATTAGAAAAACAAGTCATTCTAAAAGCTATAAAATTCAACCTGCTAAAACGTAAAATCTTAAAACCACAATGTCTATGGAGATTCTCAGTCATCCAGGTCATGGTTGTCCGAAAGGTGCGTTTTTTTCAAGAGGTAACTGGACTTTCTTGGTTTTTCCTCGAAGACATTTTGCTTCTCATCCAAGAAGCTTCTTCAGCTCTGGCTGGCTGGAGGGGAATGGAAGGATTTATATCCCTTGCAGACAGCTGGTCATTTTTATCCTTTCAGAGAGCCATTGAGGTCACCTGGACGTTTATCTCTGTCCTCAGGGTCACCTGAGCATTGCAAATGGGTGTGGAGCCGCCTTAGATCTGCTGAAAGGACTGAGTTGTAGACGGGAGATAGATGTGGTCGTCTCCTGCCCCCTCAGTTGAGAGAGGGCTGTTCAGTTTGGACCTAGACGGCCTCGTCTTCAAGGAAAAACCAGAAAGTCCATTTGCCTCTTGAAAAAGCACCTTTGGGATTGAAACCACAAGACCCTGGCGCCAATCCGTGCTAACGTGCCATCGTCCAATTGACTGTTAACGCTTGGGAGAGAAAAGGCAGGCCCTTTTAAGTCTTCAGGAAAGTTAGAAGGATGGAGGCATGCCAAACCTCAGAGAGCTAAGATGTTTGATAGGGAACAGGGGCTACCCCAGTCTGCTTTCTAGACCCCCATCAGATGCAGTATTAGGGGGGCAAAGGGACTAGGAGCGTGGCTCACCCTACCTGACCTGAAAGGACAGATAGGGAAAGGTGAACCTCAGGTAGCCAGGCTCCTGCCACGTAGGTCTTGAATCGTACCTGGAAAGAAACGGGAAAACAGTGCCAGTCTTTCCCATTCTGCAGGTATCAATTAATAGCAGGGCTCTTTCAATCTGGCCTCTTTTAAAGACTGGTGGATATCCCACTCTCAGAATCCCCCAGCCCCGTCATGCCGTCTGGGGAAAGAATTCTGGGAGTCGAAGCCCACCAGTCTTTAAAAAGTGGCCCAATTTGGAGAGCCCTGACATACCTGTGTGTGTGTGTGTGTGTGTGTGTGTGTGTATTTCTGGAGCATCGGGATAGGTCTAACTCTTCCCTCCTCCCCTTCTCAACAGTGCTGAACCTGAAGAAAACCTCCAAGCCCTGATGGAGAGAAACCACTCGCTCTTGGAAGAGAATGAAAAACTCAGCCGTAGCTTGAATGACGTGCTCGGTCAGATTACTCCGATATTGGAGAGGGGAATCATGGTAAGGCCCACACCTACCAGAAGTGCTGCTCTTCCCACGCTGGGGGAGGAAGTTCCTGCTAAAGGACCTCCTCCTCCACCCCCCCCCCCCCCAAAAAAAAAAAGGAATTCACAATCAAGTGTTACGCTTTCCCTTCCTGTATTTGGAATGTGTTTTCAAGAGACAGGGAGATGAAGAAAAATAATACTGCTAGTCCTCAACTTACAACAGATTCCTTAGGTCACACCTAGAATACGCCACACCTAGAGTACTGCATCCAGTTTTGGTCACCACACTATAAAAAGGATGTTGAGACTCTAGAAAAAGTGCAGAGAAGAAGAGCAACCAGGGTGATGAGGGGACTGGAGGCTAAAACATGTGAAGAACAATAGCAGGAACTGGAACTGGCTAATCTAGGGAAGAGAAGGACCAGGGGAGACAGGATAGCAGTCTTCCAATATTCGAGGGGCAGCCACAGAGAGGAGGAAGGGGCCAAGCTATTCTCCAAAGCACCCAAAGGCCAGACAATGGATGGAAACTGATCAAAGGAGAGATTCAACCTGGAAATAAGGAGAAAATTTTCTGACAGTGAGAACAATCAACCAATGGAACAGAAGTTGCCCTCGGAAGTTGTGGGAGCTTCATCCCTGGAGGCTTTCAAGAAGAGACTGGACTGCCATCTGTCAGAAATGGTGTAGGGTCTCCTGCTTGGGCAGGGGGTTGGACTAGATGACCTACAAGGTCCCTTCCGACTGTTAATCTAATCTAATCTAGTGACCATTCTAAGTTAAAAACGGTGCCAAAAAAAGTGACTTATAGCCATTTTTCAGACTTGGAACCATGGCAGCATCCCCGTGGCCACATGTTTTACATTCGGATGCTGACAACGGGTTCACACTTACGACGGTTGCAATGTCCCGGGGGGGGGGTCACATTGATCCCTTTTTGCGACCTTCAGACGAAGCCAACGGGGAAGCCGGATTCGCTTAACAACCATGTGACTAAATTTAACAAGCAGGATGATTCACTTAACAAACTGGGCGAGGAAAGTCAAAAAATGGTGGCAAAACCCACAAATTTCTCACTTAGCAACATGAATTTTGGGCTCAATCATGGTCGTAAGTTGAGGACTACCTATACAGGGCCCCTCTTAACTAACACCATAGCAACTCCTCATAATCCGAAGCCTTTTCCCATTTCCGCAGGAGGAAGAGCAGAACAAGAGGATCAACCTGAAGCTAGAAGAGCTCCGAGGACACACAGTGTAAGTAGCTCCTTCGCGCACCTGTTTAGCGACCGTTTGCTGCATGGGATCCACCGCTGCGTCAGAAATATGGAAAGGGAGCTCGATACAGGGTCGACCTTGTTTAGCAACCGTTCGAAGCTACGGCGGCGCTGAAAAAAAAGGGACGTAAGGACTGGCCCTCCCCTTACAACAGGAGTGTTGCAGCATTCCCTCACAGTCGCCTGGTCAAAATTTCAGGCCCTTGGCAGCCGTATTTATGACGGTTGCCGCATCCTGAGGTGACCTGGTCGCCATTTGAGACCATTCCAAAAAGCGAAGCCCACGGGGGAAGTCGGGTTCGCTTAACAGCCGCATAATTCACCGAATAACCGCGGCGATTCACTTAACCACCCCGGGGCGAAAAGTAAAATCGGGTGTGGCTCACTTAAGCGCCCCTACACTTAGCAACGTGGGGGACTTGTGTTCCCAATTTGGGGTCGTAAGTCAAGGATCACTCGTATTTTTTCGACCTGGGGAACTTTTAAGATGGGTGGATTGCTCCGTTAAAACTATCAGTATAAAATACAAAGAAAAAGAAAGATGAAAAAGTAAGAAGGGAGGAAGGAGAAAAGAGGGTATAGCGTCATGGAAGGAAAAAAAAAGGAAAAAGGCACCAACTTCCGACTCTCTTTGGCAAAGTCAAAGGTAACATGCTGGCTGGGGAATTCTGGGAATTGAAATCCACCCATCTTAAAAGTGACCAAAGTCGAAAAACACTGGTTTAGACAAAGGGGGAAAAGAAAGCCGGGATCACAGGCTACCAGCCAAACAAACATTCACTTTTAAGGGAGCAACATCGAGTATCTAAGATTAGAACTAAGGACAGATTTCCTGACAGGGAGAACAAATAATCGACGGTCGTAGATGCTCCAACATTGGAGGTTTTGGTGTACGCTTCCTGCCTTGAGCAAGGGGGTGGACTAGAAGACCTCTGAGGTCCTTCCCAGCCCTATAGTTCTATTTCATCTTGAAATTTCAGGTTACACCTGGACCTGCAAAAGCTGCTGACATCCGTGGAGGACAAAGAACTGAAAGAACAGCTAGAACTAGTAGTGCAGCTGCAACAAATTATCACTCAGCTGCTGGTGAGGATTATTCCCCCCCCCCCCCCCAAATCACCGGTCTCTTTTTAAGGGAACCCAGCTGTCAGCAGCCTCAATTTCCCAAATGGTTCTTAGAGAGGTCCAACCTGGAAAATAACCTCCTTTTATTTTGTTTTGAGCCACATTGCTAGTTTTGAGTCTTAAAATGGGGGAAGGTTCCCTGAACGTTGAAGTGTTCCGTGGGCTGAAAATCAATTCTCACTGTTGCGACTGAGGCACATAACTCTGTTAACTTCTCTCTCTCCCCCTCTCCCTCCCTTCTTCCCTGCCTCTCCTCTTTGCCATTAATATTGTTATTAAGTTCTACAATAAAATAAGATACAAAATAGGAAAGAAAATAGGAAACCAATGGGAGGAGAAAGGGGGTGGGAAGAAAAGTAAAGAAGGATTAAGAGAAGGAAAAAGAAGCATTTTTCTCTTCCGACACTGTCGCAGTATAATAAGGCATTTACATCAAATCACTTCTATTTTTTTCATCATAATATAAACTGGCCATTCCTATCAAGATCTTTGGAAAGAAAAGCATTTGTATTCTTTAATTAAATAGTCAATTTTGCCATATCAGCCAACTCCTTCCTCTAAGTCCCCTGTTAACTTTTCAATCCTGTACCTTCCTCTTCTCAATCTTTGTTAGAGGATCCAGAATTCCCGTATTTGTAAGGAAGTCAAGCAATCTACACACACGTATGTTTTCTGTAAAAAGACATCCGTTGTTGTTTTCTCTCCCGCCCTCCATCCTTCCTTCTTAAAATTGTATTTTTTGTCTGTGTTTTCTGTAGAAAGAAATTCCTCCTCCTGTAGCTCACATGGATGTAAAGGAACAGCATGCTGATTCTGTAAGTACAGGTAGTTCTCACCTTTTCCAACCAGATGTTTTCACAAACGTTTGCAGTGGCGATGAATGCTTTGCGACCCATAAAGCATTTCTGTCTGTCATAAAATACCTCTCTCCTTTGTGGTCACATGACTGAATTTGGTTATTCTTGACCACTGGCTTTCTTTTACCGCCAGTTCGAGCATGCTAAAACATATAAAGACACTAAAACGTTATAAGAAATGGTTGCTGGAATTGGGTATGTCTACTTTAATGAAAAGAAGGACTAGGGGTGATGTGATAGCAGCCTTCCAGTATTTGAGGGGCTTCCCCAAAGAAGAGGAGGTCCACCTATTCTCCAAAGCAGTTGAAGGCAGGACACGGAGCAACGGGTGGAAACCTATCAAGGAGAGAAGCAGCCTGGAATTAAGACTTTTTTTTTTTGACAGTGAGAACAATTAATCAGTGGAACAACTTGCCTCCAGAAATTGTGGATGCTCCATTACTGGAGGCTTTTAAGAAGAAATTGGATAAGCATTTTGTCTGAAGTGGTATAGGGTTTCCTGCCTAAGCAGGGGGTTGGACTAGAAGACCTCCAAGGTCCCTTCCAACTCTGTCATTCTGTTCTGTTCTACTATTATTCTATTCTATTCTCTCTTATTCTGTTCTCTATTCTATTCTACTCTTATTCTATTTCATTCTATTCTATTCATGCTGCAGTTTGGAGGATTCTGGGAATTGAAGCCCACCCATATTAAAAGTGGCCAAACACTTTTAGGAGCTGATAGTCACCTAACAGTTGGGTTGGAAATATACACTGCTCAAAAAAATAAAGGGAACACTTAAACAACACAATGTAACTCCAAGTCAATCACACTTCTGTGAAATCAAACTGTCCACTTAGGTAGCAACACTGATTGACAATCAATTTCACATGCTGTTGTGCAAATGGAATAGACAACAGGTGGAAAGCAGAGGCAGTTAGCAAGACATCCCCAATAAAGGAGTGGTTCTGCAGGTGGTGACCACAGACCACTTCTCAGTTCCTATGCTTTCTGGCTGATGGTTTGGTCACTTTTGAATGCTGGCGGTACTTTCACTCTAGTGGTAGCATGAGAAGGAGTCTACAACCCACACAAGTGACTCAGGTAGTGCAGCTCATCCAGGAGGCACATCAATGAACTGTGGCAAGATGGTTTGTTGTGTCTGTCAGCATAGTGTCCAGAGCATGGAGGCGCTACCAGGAGACAGGCCAGTATATCAGGAGACATGGAGTAGGCCATGGGAGGGCAACAACCCAGCATCAGGACCGCTACCTCCGCCTTTGTGCAAGGAGGGACAGGAGGAGCACTGCCAGAACCCTGCAAAATGACCTTCAGCGGGCCACAAATGTGCATGTGGCTGCTCAAACGGTCAGAAACGGACTCTATGAGGGTAGTACGAAGGCCTGATGTCCACAGGTGGGGGTTGTGCTTACAGCCCAACACCGTGCAGGACTTTTGGCATTTGCCAGAGAACACCAAGATTGGCAAATTTGCCACTGGTGCCCTGTGCTCGTCACAGATGAAAGCAGGTTCACACTGAGCACATGTGACAGACCTGACAGGGTCTGGAGATGCCGTGGAGAATGTTCTGCTGCCGGCAACATCCTCCAGCATGACCGTTTTGGCAGTGGGTCAGTAATGGTGTGGGGTGGCATTTCTTTAGGGGGCTGCACAGCCCTCCATGTGATCACCAGAGGTAGCCTGACTGCCATTAGGTACCGAGATGAGATCCTGAGACCCCTTGTGAGACCATATGCTGGTGCGGTTGGCCCTGGGTTCCTCCTAATGCAAGATAATGCTAGATCTCATGTGGCTGGAGTGTGTCAGCAGTTCCTGCAAGACGAAGGTATTGATGCTATGGACTGGCCCACCCGTTCCCCAGACCTGAATCCAATTGAGCACATCTGGGACATCATGTCTCGCTCCATCCACCAACGCCACGTTGCACCACAAACTGTCCAGGAGTTGAGGGATGCTTTAGTCCAGGTGTGGGAGGAGATCCCTCAGGAGACCATCCATTACCTCATCAGGAGCATGCCCAGGCATTGTAGGGAGGTCATACAGGCATGTGGAGGCCACGCACACTACTGAGCCTCATTTTGACTTGTTTTAAGGACATTACATCAAAGTTGGATCAGCCTGTAGTGTTTTTTTCCACTTTAATTTTGAGTGTAACTCCATATCCAGACCTCCATGGGTTGCTACATTTGATTTCCATTGATAATTTTTGTGTAATTTTGTTGTCAGTACATTCAACTATGTAATGAACAAAGTATTTAATGAGACATCTAGGATGTCTTATTTTTGTGTTCCCTTTATTTTTTTGAGCAGTGTATGAACCAGGATAGACATTTAATACTGTCTCTTTAAGGGAATGCTAAAATTGTAATTCGGTGTGGTTCCTCAAACAGCCATAAGCTGGAGCCAGAAACCTGGGTTGTTCTGTCCTGTTGTTATTAGTTGCTAGTTGCTAGATTTTCTGATGTTTGATGTTCTTGGTTCCTGCATTTTCCCCTATTGACTGTTGCTGATCGTCGTTCTTCTTGGATTGCTGTGAGTCTATTTACTGAATTGTTTATGATACTGGACTTTGATTTTGGATTATCCCTGGACTGAATACTGACTGCTTTAACCGTGTATGACTTGGACTGCTTGTTGGACTTTGCTTAACCGTTTACTGGAAGTAAAACCTACATTTTACTATTCAGTGTATCTGTGTGCTGGTCACGTGTTATTCAACATCACTCTCACTACGTCTCCCTGTGTGCACTCATTCTCCTAACAGGGAATTACCTCAACAGCGGTATATAAGTTTAAGTGCTGCTGTTCTGGTTGAGAAACGCTGCATGACAATGTAAAAGCTCTTAATCATCTCCCATGTCTTCTCTCTCGTCCAGGAGTCCTCGGTAGACATGGAGGCCCCCCAGTCTTCGGGCGACTATGCCGCTCAGCATGCTCTCCAGCAAGCTCAGATGTCCAAGGAGCTGCTAGAACTCAACCAAGCCCTCACTCTGAAGGAGGCCCTGGCTCAGAAGCTCGCCCAGAGCGACCGCCAGCTGGAACCCATCCAATGCCAGTCACAGGTAAGCTTGCACCATGGTTAGAACGCGGGATACTTCTGCAGACTGCCAGTTGCCTGCAATTTAGCAGTTCAAATCTCACCATGCTCAAGGTTGACTCAGCCTTCTGTCTGTCCTTACGACGTCAGTAAAATGAGGACCCAAATGGTTGGGGCTGACTCTGTAAACCGCTTCAGAGAGAGCTGGAAAGCCCTGTGAAGCGTTATATACATCTTAAGTGCTAGTACTATCAAACCCAGCAGACCAAATCGGGAGATTGCCATCCTTGTGGGGGATAAGGGTCAAGCCCTAGCTTTTTCGCTGGTAGCTCAGAACTACATCTGAAGTTCACAATGTGTATAATAATAAGAATACTTTATTGTCATTGTATGTATATACATAGTATACACATACAACGAAATTCACAACACCCAGAGACCAGACCCAACACGCACACACATATGACAATCCCCAAACACACCCCCATCACCAAAATTCCCCGCCGCCTAAAACACAGAACCATCCACACAACAGACCAAGTAGTACTGCCCCAACGGCTGACTGATGGTGGTCCTTAAGTTCATTGTGAAGTGCAATTATGGCTCTTGGATAAAAACCGTTCAGAAAACATGTGGTCCGAGTTTTAATTGTTCTGTATCTTCTGCCAGAAGGCAACAACTTCACAAAGATTGTAAGCAGGATGGGAAGAGTCTCCGAGAATGTTGTGCAACTTCCTCAAACAGCCAGGTGCAAAGATACCTTCCAGGGCTGGTAGCTGGAGCCCAATGATATTCTGGGCCGTTTTAATGATTCTCTGTAGGGCCTTTTTGTCCGCTACAGAGCTGCTCCCGTACCATGCAAGGATGCCGCATGTCAGGACACTCTCAATGGTGTTGCGGTAGTAGGACAGAAGTAGGTGCTGAGATAGATTGATCTCCATGAGCATTCTCAGGAAGTGCAGCCTCTTCTTCTGTGCCTTCTTCACAAGCATGTTAGCATTCATAGTCCATGAAAGGTCCTTCGATATAGAAATGCCCAGAAATTTAAAACTACCAACCCTCTCCACCTCCTTTATGTAGAATGGTAAATGTATAAGGTGTCGGTGGATGTGCTGAGTAACGCAGATCGAAAGGAACTGTGACTTCCGAGCGATTGGACATTCTTCTATTGATGCATCAAAATATTTCATTTCATGCCTTTGTAAGCGGTTTCCTCACCCTGCTGTGCTCATGTTCACCTTGTGATCCATTTCCTGGCCTTCTTCCAGCTTACCTATTCAAGATGGGTTTCCAGCCCCTTTGTGTTTGATTTCTTGTGATGTGGAATTAAAACAGAGAATAAGTAATACAGGAAGACCTCGATTTGCCACAACACACTTACGACCGCTGCAGCATTCCCGCATGGTCACGGGATCAAAAGTCAAGATGCTTGGCAACTGGCTCCTATTTATGACAGTCGCAGCATCCCCGGGGCCATGCAACCTTCTGACAAGCAATGGGGAAACCCAGATTCGCTTAACCATGTGACGAACTTCACAATTGCTGTGGTCCACTTATACTACCGTGGCAAGGAAGGTCATATCATGGGGCGAAACTCATTTAACAATTCTCTCACTGAGCGACAAAAATTTGGGGCTTAATTGTGGTCATAAATCAAGGAGTATCGGTACATGGGGTTCCCTCTAACCAGTTTGTTCTGATTGAAGAGGCTACTTGGAAAAAAGCAGCCAAATCAAGAGAAGAAATCCATTCCTTTTCATGTTTCTCTCTTGCTTACATGCTCCCACTCTTCCCAAGAACTGGTTTTTCTTACAAAATTCCCCTTGGAACATCACTTATAAGAATCACAGGAAACTTCTTGCCAGCTTGCAAGTGTTCTGACCCAGCTCCCCAAACACGACAAACCCTCTAGTTAAAATCAATGATTCCTTTATTACGAGCTCCAGCAGCCCTGGAAAAAAGTTTCTCTTTCAACGCAGGCTAACAAGTCTGTCTGACAGGGAGATGAATAGTTGTTAGCCACCCCTCTTCATCTCCGCCCCCTGCCTTTTATCTCCAGAGCTGGGGTGGGGCTTCGCTAGCAGCGGTGGCTCTTCCATCCCAAGGACCAGCCCCTAGATTTCCACTGCTCTCCTCTCCTCTCTGCCTTCTGCGCATCCTCACTTCAGGCCCTGGACCCAGCTGTTCCTCCTCTTCCTCATCAGCCACCTCCAGAGCAAGGGGCTGTTGACTCTCCATCTGAGGGCTGATGGACGGGCCAGGCTCCGCCTCTGCCTCTCTCCCTCTGCCAGCTCCATTCCCTCTTCCCCATCGGAGCTCTCAGGTTGGTGCTGACCCTGGCTTCCACACCTCCTCCTCCTCCCGATTCGGCTTCTAGAGGGGCTGGCGGCCAAAGGCCACAACAGCAAGAGGCATTGAGCAGAAAAATTGAGTGAGGCTGGTTGGCCAGAGGAAATGACCCTTTGGGCATCTGGGCAGTTGAAAAAAACCTGCCTCCAAGATGCCAAGTTGCCTTTTTTTCCCCTCCCCTCCTTTCGACAAGAATAATATCCAGATCCTGGAAGCGGCGGTAGCCAAACTGCAAAAGGAGAAGGAAGAGTTGCTCCTCGTCCTTCAGGTGACCAAGAAAGACAGTCAAGCCAAGTAAGAAACACAGGGGCCTGGGCTTTATCCCTCTTGGGGAAGGGTCTCTGAATGAGGTAGCTGAACTCAGAACGTTTGTCTCCGATCTCCTTTCAGGCTGAGCGAGCGTCGCCGGAAACGCCTGCAGGAGCTGGAAGGGGAGATGAGCGAGCTAAAGAAGAAGCTGAAGGAACAATCCAAGCTTCTGAACATGAAAAAATCCAGCGAGCAGACCGTCTCCAAACTCCACCAAGAGATCCAGGTAAACAATGTTGGTTTGTTTGTTTCCTTTCAATTTTCCGCAAACAACCACCCTGTGGGGATGGTTAGGCTGAGAGAGTAAGACTGGCCCCAATGTCACCCAGCTTGCTTTTCGTTCATAATGCAGGACTAGAACTCACTGTCTCTTGGTGATTGGCCCAAAGTCACCCAGCTGAATGTGCCTTGGAATATTAAGGAAAGCAAATACATCGATGTAAAGTACACATATTTGGGGGTCTGTGACAGACTGAAACTTGGAAGCTTGTTCCTTTAGAGACGGCTAGTGATATAATCCATCCATTCCCAAAGGTTGTCGGTAAAAACGTGAGGCATTTTATTTTTACCGACAAAATGCCTTACATTTGCCTGTCGCCCTTATAAGAGTGATTTCCTCAATTTCAACTAGAATTCTGTTTGAATCCTTCCCACAGACTCTTTCTTTAAAAAAAAAAACAGTTTTGCTCCTTCGTGTTCAACTTGTAGGCCATGAAAAGTCAACGGGTTCTGCTGATTCGGGAGATGAAAGAAGATGCTGAGAAATTCCGACAGTGGAAACAAAAAACGGATAAGGAAGTTGTCCAGCTGAAGGCCAAGGTGAGCTGGGTGCTTGGTCGTTCTCACACGAAAGCATCTTCCTTACCATCAGCTGTCCTAGCAGTGAGAGTGACCATCTCCTCTCTCTGAAATGTAGACCTCAGTCCTCCTTGACTGCTGTTGGTCAACCTTAGCTTTTTTAATAGCAATAGCATTTAGACTTAGAGTATATGGCTTCATGGAGCTTTTACAGCCCTTTCTAAGCGGTTTACAGAGTCAGCCTCTTGCCCCCAACAATCTGGTCCTCATTTTACCCACCTCGGAAGGATGAATGACAGTGTGATGATCCGGGGCGTGGCACAAAGGCAACACAGTCAGATAATCAGTAGGAGTCCCTTTACTAGCTCCAATTTTGCCCAATATCCTGATTACCTTCTGGCTTGAGAAAAATTCTCCCAGGAACAGCCTTTGGCTGCAGAGAATCAAGTCCAAAACATGGTCAACAAAAACTGTAACTATAAGTCCAATCAAGGCAAGATGAGATAATTAGTCCGGCAGGGCAGGAGAAGGAATTGCAGACGTGAAGGCACGGCAATAACTCAACATGGTTGGGAGGATGCCAGGAACACAGATAACCAAAGTCAACACAAGATAAACTCACATTTGTTCCCAGCAACCGCTGATCTCGGTTTGCATCTCATTTAAACTCTCATTCCCAGGTGTGGCTAATGAAGGGAATCGGGACCCTTTCCTCCCCCGTAAGCCATGCAACCTATGTTGCTCTCTTTTCTGTTCCTCCCTGCGTGTCCTAGGACAGTGGTGGCTAACCTTTTCGGCACCAAGTGCCCAAAGCACACATGCGCACCCCCAAAATACAATGCATGCATGACCCCTGTGCATGCATCCCGCCCCCCACACGCACAGCAGAGACCCAAAGATCAGCTGGCTGGCAGGAGGTACGAGGGCATGCGCTGAGCTGGGGCAATGGCTCGCATGCCCACAGAGGGCTCTGCATGCCACCTCTGGCATGCCATAGGTTCGCCATCACAGCCCTAGGATGAAGAGGAGGTGGGCCTGGGTCTTCCTCTGAGCTCCCTCTCCCTTGTTCTACCTCTCCGCTGCTCTGCGCAGCCAGACTTTGCCCTTCCCCAGTTTCCTCCACAGCCAACAGAGCCACACTCCCAATCCTTGTCGCTGTTCGTCTTCCTCCTTGGATTCAGACTCCGACAGGGTTATGACAGACTGAGTCAACCTTGATCCGGTGAGACTCGAACTGCTGTCAATTGGCAGTCAACATAATTAGCCTGCAGCACTGCATTCTAACCACCAGAGGGCTTAAATCATTGGGATTGAAGATGGGTGGATTTAAGCTCCCCGAATTCCTTGCCACTATGCATTGTTTTCACAGGTATGCCCATTGTGGCCTGCTTACTCCCTTATAATCCCTTCCTCTGCAATCTCTCCGGGGTAGGAGAAATAAGAAAATAGGCGTGGTTGGCTGGGGAATTCTGGGAAAAAGTCCACCCATCTTAAAGCGGCCAAGGTTGACTGTCTTAGACCAGAGTATGCGGCCCAATTGCCAGAAGATTGATCCACCCTATGTAAATAATACAACAGATCGGCTTTCCCCAGTAGGTCACACTGGACCCCTGGCCACGTGTAGATCAAGATTACCATTCCCATAATGGCCAAAGAGGTAGGGAATTCTGGGAGTTCTCTTGCAACTCACCTGGAGGTTAGGATGGATTTAGACCTCTTGGTGGAATATAAATGCCCTTAAAGTTGAGCCCCCATCTCAGCTGAACAAACTGAGAAGCTTTTAACGGTGATCCAGCCGCCTTCTCCTCCTCTTTCTGTCTGGACAGCCTGCAACTTTGCTATCCTTGTCTCGTTCCTCAGGATCGCAAGCGGCAGTGTGAACTGGTCAGGCTGGAGCAGGACTTCCAGAAGCAAGCCATGATCCTCCGGCGGAAAACAGAAGAAGTGAGGGGGGTCATGAATACTCTTTCTATGCTTTCCTGTTTTAGAAGCCCCTGGGGTTTCTCCTTAAAGCCGTGATGGCGAACCTGTGGCACGCAGAGCCCTTTGTGCGGGCACATGCACCCCAACCAGATTTACCTGCACTGCGCATGTGTGCGCCTCCCAGCTGGCTTTCGGCCCATTTGAGGCCTTTCTCAGCCTCCCAGAGGCTCCAGGGAAGCCTCTGCATCCTTTGGAGGCCGAAAACCAGACCGGTTTCATCACTTACTACGGTACTTGGAGGCCGAAAAACGCTGCAGAGGCCTCCCTCGAGCCTCCGGGAGGCCCGAAAAGCCCTCAAACAGGCCTAAAACCAGCTGGGAGGCCTGCGCAAGCGCAGTGCAGGTAAGCGGGGATGGCGGGGTGCCGGCACTTGCGCTTTCAGCACAACAGAAAGGTTCGCCGTCTCTGCCTTAATCCTGCTAATCCAGGGAGTCCTCTGCTTACAACCGTTCATTTAGTGATGGACCGAAGTTAACAACGGAAGTGGGAAAAAAGGGACTCGGGGCCGTTTTTCATACTTAATGAGCATATCATCATCCCCATAGTCCACATCACGATCACAATTCAGACGCTTGGCAACTGACTCACACTTACGATGGTTGCGGTGTCCTGAGGGTCAGTTGATCCCCTTTTATGACCTTCTGACTAGCGAAGTCGGGCAAATAGGGCAGGATTTGCTTAACAAATGTCTCCCTTAGCAACAGAAAATTTTCGGGCTTCCTTGTGGTCATAAGTCAAGGACTAGCTCTATTTTTGTTTTGGGGCAAAACACACCCTAGGAAACAATGGGTTTGCTTAATGACTGTGTTGTTCACTTGACAACTTCAACGCTCGCTTCACAACCGCCACAAAAAAGGATCCCAAAATTGTGTGGGCCAAGTGGGTGGCCTGCTTCGAGGTCATAATGGGCAGGCTTCATATCTGTCCGATTCTTGGCATTACAGATAATCAGAATAGAGCTGGAAGGGGCCTTGGAGGTCTTCTAGTCCAGCCCCCTGTTCAAGCAGGAGCCAGCCCTATACTGTTTCAGACAAGTGGCTGTCCAGTCTCTGCTCAGAAGCTTCCAGTGATGGAACACCCATAACTTCTGCTTGAAAGCAATTCCATTGGTTAATTATCCTCACTGTTTGGAACTTTCTCCTTATTTCTACATAGTTTCTCTCCTCGATTGTTTCCATCCATTGTATCTTGTCTTGCCTTTGGAAAACAAAGGGGCCCCCTCTTCTTTGGGGCAGCCCCTCAAATACTGGAATACTGCTATCACATCCCCCCATGTCCTTCGTTTCTCTAGATTGGCCAAACCCAAATCTTGCAACCAATCTTCGTATTTTTTTAGTCTCCAGGCCTTTAATCACCTTAGTTATTCTTCTCTGCACTTTTTCCAGAATCTTAACATCTTCTTTGTAATGTGACCAAAACTGGATGCAGGATTCCAGGTGTGGCATTACTAAGGCTTCATAAAGTTGTAGTAACACTCCATGTGATTTTGATTCTATGCCTCTGTTTATGTAACTAAGGATTATATTAGCTTTTTTGGCTGCTGCTGCACACAACTGGCTCGTGTTTAAGGGATCGTCCACTAGGACTCCAAGGTCCATCTCACAGTTCCTGTTTTTGAACCAGATCTCCCAATGTGTGCTTATACCTTTGATTTTCTTGCCCAGGTGTAAAACCTTGCTTTTCTCCACATTAAATTAAATAGTCCTCAGTCTACAGCCACAGTGGAGCCCCAAATTTTTGTTGCTAGGTTGAGAGAGTTCTTTAAGTGAATTTTGTTCCACCTTTCTTGTCCTAGTTGTGATTGAATCACTGCAGTTATTAAGCGAGTAGCTGTTCTGACCAAGCCTTTCTGAGGCTGCAATTAATCACACGCTTAGTCCAAACAACCCTGTTTTTATTTCAACGGCTGGGGATTATGTTCATTCCCAGCCTGTAATGAGTCCCAAACAGTCCCTTGAGATAAGCACCCACCTTTCTCTCCTTTGAATTGCTGCCAACAACTAAAGTGCCAAATTAACTGTAAAAAGCCAAACGGACTACAAAGTCCACACAGAGAGTTTAAAACTGACCAGAGCAAACAAAGTTACTTCCTGCAAAGGCTCGTGTCCCTTTGCTCCTCGTTTATGTCTTATGGGAGGGCCAATCACTTCTTTACTCCCGAGTCACCCCTTTTGTCTTAACTGTTCTTGCCTTCTGGCAGCTCTGTGCATGCGCACACTGGGAACAGGCTCCCCTTGTTCCTCTGCCTTGCTGCTGACAGATTCTGGAAGCTCCAGAGTTGGCACTTCACTCCCAGATGGTCCTGGCCCCATCTCTGCATTGGACGCAGGACCCTCGTCTGAGTCCTTCCCAGACTCCTGGACTGGCCCATGGTCCTCCCCACTGTCTGACTCTACTGCTGTCTCCGCAGGCTGCCGACGGACCACAACAGTAGCATGGTCGTTAAGTGAATCTGCCTCCCCCAGACTTTTCTTGTCAGATATACGGGGTGGGAGTGGGCTGTCACATGACCCCAGGACACTGCAACCATCGTAAGTATAAGCCAGTTGCCAAATCTCTGGATTTTGATCACGTGACCCTGGGAATGCTGCAGGGTGTGAAAAACATTTGTTCCTCCCCCCCCCCCCCCCCCCCCCCAAGGCCTCTTATCACTAGGAAGGTTTCCTAAATAAGTGTTTTTTAATCAGGGCAACCTGCTCTACCCAAATATGGGATGGAGCATATTGCTTTCGCCTTTCAGCCCCGATCCAGGAGCCTTCGCAGGCCGTCGCTTTCGCAACAAACTATTTTTGTGTTGAAGTTATATTTACCGACAAAGAAATAAAGGGAGACTAGTTTAGATTTTTTGAGCTACTTAGCTCTCAGCTACCCGGTTTCCTCGAAAATACGGCCTACCCTGAAAATAAGTCCTAGCTCGATTTTTACACGTGCACCCAAAATAAGCCCTAATTAAGATCTCGCCCGCTCCAGAGTGCACGGGTAAAAATTAAGCTAGGGTGTGGATGGAGCTGCCCTACTACTTACCTTTGGAGAGTTGTAGTCACAGGTTAGTCCAAGGGTCTTCAAACTTGACAGCTTTAAGACTTGTGGACTTCCAACTCCCAGAATTCCTCCTCCAGTCATGCTAGCTCAGGAATCCTGGGAGTTGAAGTCCACCAGTCTTAAACTTGCCAAGGCCTCTGGGTTAGTCAGTGGATGACATCTCCCGAAAATAAGAACTGGTGCCTTTTTGGTGGCAAAATAAATAAATAAGACAGGTCTTCTTTTTGGGGAAACATGGTAGCTATACCTTTTCTGGGATTTGAACCCAGAACAGCTTGAAATAGATCTTAAATAGCTTGAAATAGATGTATACTAGTCTCCCTTTGTTTCTTTGTCGGTAAATACAAACTTAACACACAAAAAAGGTCACAAAATAAACGTTCTGTGAATATTCTCAGCCATCCAAGTCCAGGTGCCTTTTGAAGGAAAAAAAAAAAGAAAAGCACCTTCGGGTCACTAAACGAATTGGTTGTAAGTCGAGGACTTGGCCTGTAAATGCTCCCATCCCCCTTCTTCCAACATTCTCACCTTTCCTGTCATCCTGCCAGGCTGCGGCAGCTAACAAGCGCTTGAAGGAAGCTCTACATAAGCAACAGCAGGTAGTGAGGAAACGAAAGGACGCTCACAAGCAGGGATTCGAAGCCGCCACCTCTCGGGTGAAGGTGAGGCTCCAGGAATGGCCCTCTCGCTCCTTAGTTGCTCTCAGGATTCCCAAGAGCTGGGGGAACAGACTTGCCTTCTTTGCCGGGAGGGTCCCAGCAGGCAGTGGAGGATGGGAAGGGTCACCCAGGGCCAGCGGGAGAGACTCCCGTGGAGCTCCACAGCCTCCTGCAGCATTGCCGGCCCAGAACGAGCTCCATGGGGCCTCCGCATGGCCCATTTTCAGCCAGCAGAGGAGGCCTGGATCAGACTGGATTACCATTACGTGGCCTCAAGTTAAGTGCCTGATCTGGATAGCAAGCAAGCAACCTCCTGTTTTTAACACTACAGTTTAATGCCAGATTTTACATACTGTAGGTCCATTTCATCTCCAACCAACAATCTATCATTGACGGCCGTTCCTATTTACCACCCTGGAAATTTGCCTCCGCTGTTAGTTCTCGTACGATCGTGTTATTTTATGCAGTTGTGTTTTTATTTATTAGTTGAATAATAATAAAAAAAATACAATAGTTATAAATAGCTTTTCTGCCCGGAAAAGCAACTTACTATTAAGCAATTGGGTGATAAATTTAGAAATAAAACGTTTAACGGAGTATGAAGAATAAGTAATAAACGTTTACCCGTAATACCTAGTAGAAGAGATGGGGAAATGGTTACGGTGAAGAACTGTGGAAAGAAAGGAAGAGGGGGGGGGGGGAGAATGCCTCTTGAGCTGGTGTCAAAGGCCCACTATGGCCACACACACACACACACACACACACACACCAGCCCTCTGAAGTCAAACACAACCCTGATGCGGCCCTCGATGAAACCGAGTTCGACACCCCCTGCCGTATACCAAGATCCTCTCCTCCCTCCCAGAACTGGCTGGTGAATGAAGTCGAAGTCCTCGTGAGCATAGAAGAAGCTCAGCATCACCTGAACCACCTTTTGGGTGACCGGAAAACCTTGGCCAAGGAAATTGCTCTGCTGAAAAAGAAGCAGGAGGCTGGGGAAGTCCTCCCATCCAAATACAGGGTGAGCAACGTCCAGGCTGCTTCTAAAGGGGCCCGGAGGAGAAGGGAGGGACCATTCTTCCTTCCTTAATCCAGGTCTTTGGAAGCGGGCTTGGAGGCGATTCCCTGGCTTTAAATGGATTTTCTCTCCCCCTCCTCTAAATTCAGCTTTTACGGTTCTTCCGGCACTGATTTCTCTCTGTTCCTCCCCAGAGACGCACATTTTCCTACCGAACCTTGGAAATTAACCATTCCATCACCAAGCAAATCGAGAGTTTGGAGACTGAAATGGAACTCAGGCAAGAGAATAACGAGAAAGCTGTTTCTTAAATTGGAGTGTGTCCATCTTGGCCCTCCTTAAGACCCGTGGACTTCAACTCCCAGAATTCCCCAGCCAGCCATTTTCCCCCCCACTTTGCTGAAATCAAGATATATGATGTCGACCGCATTCCCGCTGTCTACTAAGAAAGTGATATGCATGTTAAGAAAGTTACAGAAATGTGATAAAGGTCGTCCAGCCCACCTCTGTTCTTCTCCTATCTGTGCTTAATATTGGTAATCCCTTGCTGGCTGGGGAATTCTGGGAGTTGAAGTCCATAATAGGTCTTAAAGGGGCCAAGGTTGGCAAACCCTACCTTAGATGACCAAGTATGGAATAGATAAAGAATTTTATACAATCTGGAATGAAGACTCTGAATGACAACTGAACACCTCCCTGGGGCCAAAACAGGACAGGCTAGCTGCCTTGACCCTAGAACAATTAGCCAGAAGTGGTGGGTGCTCCATCACTGCAGCTTTATAAGAAGAGATTGGACAGTCATTTATCTGAAATAGTTTGAAGAGGGGGTTGGATAGAAGACCTCTGAGCTCCCTCTCAACTCTGGTTATACTGTTGCTTTTTCCAGTTGTCCCTCAGAAAGACCCCAGAGCTCTTTCTGAACAATAAGGTAGACTTCCGGCACAGTTCCTGTTTGAATTTATACATTCAAACAGTTGGCTCATCCTGGCCAATTTTCCACGGGAGTTTTACTGTAGATCAGAGGTCTCCAGATTTGGCAATTGAAAGACTTGTGGACTTTCACCTCCCAGAATCCCTCTCCCGGGCTAGGGAACTCTGGGAGTTGAAGTCCACAAGTCTTTAAATTGCCAAATTTGGAGACCCCTGCAGTAGACCTTTTGAAACAGCGAGGGCTAAAGGGAGAGAGGCGGACTGGCCCCACTTCCGTGAGCATCTCCCCTCACTTTCCACCCATAAGTAGGGAGCAACGTGGCTTTGTCCCCCCCAAGATGTCATCTTCTGGAAACCGACATCCACCAACTCTATGATTCCTTCCACAGGAGCGCCCAAATTGCAGATCTGCAGCAGAAGCTGCTGGATGCCGAGACCGGCGACCTGACCAAACACCGCTGGGAAAATATAGCCACCATTTCAGAAACCAAGTGTGCCATCAAGTATCTGATTGGAGAAGTAAGTTGGGGGGGAGGGGGAGGCAGAGAAATAGGGGCCACTCCAGAAATGGCACCCAGGGCCTTCCTTGCTGGCTCGCCTGTTCCCCCAAGATGTTGCTGGTTGGTACCTTCAAGAGGAGGCCCAAACCTTCTGGCTAAGAGGGGCAGCTGGCCAGAAGCTCTCCTAGTATCCTCTCCATCTGTTTGAATTTTCTTGCTCCTGAAGCTAGTTGCCTCTAACGTGGAAATTGGGAAACTTGAAAGCCACCTTCAGCAGAGCAAAGCCAACTGCGTCGACATCCATAAGATGCTTCAGGAAGAGCGGAAGGAGGCTGCAGACACAGAGGCTGAACAGGAGAGGAGGCTGGTCCAGGTTGAGCAGGAATATCAAGAGAAGGTGCGGCCTGGCCTTAAAACCCCACCCTCCCTTCTGTAGAAATGCTGCATTATTAGGTAGTGCGGTGGTCCGACAAAAATAATCTTGTAATGACCCCCATAATCCCTTGCGGGGTGGAGTCAGGGCCACTGAATGGAGCCGAGGATTTACTTGCCGGATGCCCTTCCTTTCACCAATGCGGAGTTTTGTTCAGCAGATATATTCTCTGTGTGCCCATAGAGAGAGAAATATATCTCTCTACCTAGGATCGAACTCACAGCCTCCTGATTGTGAGGCGAGAACTCCACCTCTAGGCCACCGCACCACTCGGTGAACCCACAAAAATGATGGATTGGAAATCAGGATATACCAGGTGGTCCTCGCCTTATGAGCATGATTCAGTCCCAGGTTTCCGTTGCTAAGCAGGACAATCAAATTGAGCTTCGTCCTGTTCGTGACTTTTCTCGTCTCAAGTTGTTAAGTGAATCACTGCAGCTGCCGCTCTTGATTTAACAACCATCCCTTTTAGTGGCCGTTCAAAGTTACGGTGACACCGTAGGGCTCTTTTTTCCCCCCCACACTTACCAACCGTTACAGCATCTCTGTGGTCAAGTATGGTAATCAAAATCTGGACGCTCGACAACTGACTCGCATTTATGACGGTTGCATGTCCCGGGGATTCACACGGCAACCTTCAGAGAAGCAAACTCAGAAGCCGTATTCGGTTAAGAAGCCTTGACAATCATTTAACCAACTGTGGGGATTCGAAAGTGAACAAGCGTGAGGGGGAAGTCGTAAAAGGGGGCTAAGATTCAGGCAGCATTTACTCACCTGAATTTGGGGGCTCGATTGTGATTATTAAATCGAGTGGTGCAGCGGCCTAGAGCAGGAGCTCTCGCCTCACAATCCGGAGGCTGTGAGTTCGATCCTAGGTAGAGGCAGATATTTCTCTCTCTCTGGGCACACAATGAGAATATATCTATCTGCTGAACAAAACTCCGCGCTGGCGACAGGAAGGGCATCCGGCCAGTAAACACTCAGCTCCATTCAGTTGCCCAGGCTCCTCCACCCCACAAGGGATTATTAGATCATTAAAAGGAGGTCAAGATAATTGTAATTATTAAGTCACGGGAATGTTGTGGTTAAGTGAATCCGGCTTCCCCTTTTCTAAGTGAGTCTGGCAGCCTTAAGGACAAAACTCCAAAGCTGGCTTGGAGCTCAACTTCTGTAGGGGGGAAGCTGTGGATCATGGGACTCCCAGTTCCTGGTTGGCTTCGCCTTCTCTCCAGTCGCTGCCAACTCTTCTTTCCTGTCCCTTTGACAGATTCTCTACCTGCTCAGCCAAGTCCAGCAACAGGAGAAAGGCGACAAAACCACCTCGACTTCCGAAAGGGAGCAGCGGCTTCTGGATCGCCTACAATTCCAGGTAAGAGGAGAGGGGGAGGGGGGGCCTTCAATCGGGGGGGGGGGGGGGAAGCTTGGCAGGGTTTCAGACCAACAGGATCCAGGCGGCCTGAGGATTCCTTGCTGGTGGAAGAAAGGGAAAGAAAGAAAGAGACCAGCCACCGTGGAGGGCTCTGGAGGGGCCCTTGGTGCTTGCTCTCTGAGCCTTTAACAGATTAACAGAGTTGGAAGGGACCTTATAGGTCATTCAGTCCAACCCCCCCCCCCCCCCCGCACAAACAGGACACCTTACACCGTTTCTGACAGATGGCACCCCAATCTCTTCTTGAAAGCTTCCAAAGGTGAAGCTCCCACAACTTCTGAAGGCAACTTCTGTTCAATGGGTTGATGGTTCTCATGGTCAGAAAAAGTCTCCTTATTTCTAGGTTGAATCTCTCCTGGATCAGTTTCCATCCATTGTTCCTTCTCCGGCCTTCGGGTGCCTTGGAAAATAGCTTGACCCCTTCTCCTCTCTGTGGGAATCCCTCAAATATTGGAAAATTGCTATCCTACCCCCCCCCCCCCCCCCGGGCCTTCTCTTCACTAGGCTAACCATGCCCAGCTTGCTTGTTTTCTTGCAGACGTTTCATGACCCAACTAGGTAACACCATCAGTGCTATTAAGAAATGCTGTTTGCTGTCAGTTTGTATTCTGGTGATTTGCCTTGTCAGGGTGGGTGGGTGGAGGTGACCTTAGGCATTCCTTGGGTTGGGCTGTTTATTGATGGCTCTTTGGCAGTTTCTTTCTTTTTTATTATTGTATAAAATACAAAAGAAGAAAAGATAACAGGAAATTAAGGGAAGGAAAGGGAATGGGGAAAAGGGGTGTGAAATACAAGAGGGAAGAGAAAAAGAAAGAAAAGGGGGCTTTGACTTCCAACTCCTCCTAGCACAGTACAAAATTACAGATGAGAAGAGTTGGAAGGGACCTTGTAGGTCATCAAGTCCAACCCCCTCTCCCAAAATGCAGGAAACCCTACAGCATTTCTGACAGATGGGGGCAGTCCAGTCTCTTCTTGAAATCCTCCAGTGATGGAGCTCCCACAGCTTCCAAAGGCAATTTCTGTTCTATCGGTTGATTGTTAAGATAAATACACCCCAGCCTCAACTTTTTGCTTTTACATATTAGTACACAATGAGCCATTTCTATAACACCAGGTCTTTCTTTTCAACAAAACCAAAATCAAAGTTTCCTTTTTTTCTTCTTCTTCGCAAGCACAGATTCCAAAAGTGATATCCAAATAAAAACACATTTTCCTCTTTGAATAAAGTATTCAATTTAACCGTTCCTGCTTTATCTTCCTTGCAGTGGAAATAGTATGTATTTCTATTTGCATCTAGTAAACCCGGTTAGGGTGTGTCGAAGAACCCCCCCCCCCCCCTCTTTGGCAGTTTCTTGATGGGGGTATTTTTTGTTTAATCCTCGGTCTGAAGTGAACCTTGGGAGTTAATCTATGCTGAGCTGGGTGCGGATCGCTGGTGGAGAGGTGCTGGGTTGTTGTTTTCTCTCTCTTGTGGGCTGTGATTGATTGTGTTGGAAGAAATATCCATCTGGTTCAGTTCCAAGCAGGGAGAAAAGACACTGGAAACGTGGAGGCTGCTTGGAAAGATGGTTTAATGGAGCTGAACCGTGAAGCACATTGTTCTGGTGCAGATGACCACATGGAGCTAAGAGAGCTATTTATATCCTCTCTTGGGCTTTGCACTTGAGCTTCTTGTTCCTGTGCAAGAACATGTATTCTATTGGCTGTAGTCAGACTCCCATGGGGCCATGTGGGGTCATGTTTGTCTGAGTCAAGTTTGGTTGAACCTTGGGCTGATGCAATGTAACGAAGAGGCTTGTGTTCTGAAAGGGTGTTGGGCCAATCCCTATTGTGTCTTAATGGCTTTGTCCTGGGTTGGATCTTGACTAAGGGCTAATCCCATCATCAAGGTCTTGTAGAAGGGCTGGCCCAGTCCTGCTGTGGGCTATTAAGAAAGGAGAGGGGGTCAACTCATAAAATATTTCTATGGTCTTTTTAGAGTTGCCAACAGAAAGGGAGTGGGGGAAAGAAGGGGTTTGAAAGAGCAGTGCGGCAACTTGGAAACCGAAAGTGCATTCCATACATAGCTTTTCAAAGATAGTAACTAGGTGACTGAAGTTTCTGCCCCGCAAAATTCCAACGGGAGAACATGATTGATGGCTCTGGGCTATGGAGGTGTCCCACTGGAGAATATGAATTATGATACACCCAGGGGGGTGGGAGGAGGGGAAACCAGGGTCAAAGGTGACAAGGAATGATGGGTCTCAGAGTCGGCTGCACCCGGGCAGTGCCGGACATGTTAACTCCCAATAAGTCCTTTTGAAGTTTTGGAAGTTTGGCTCAAGACTCAGGATTTAATTTGGGTAACTGCCAGAATCCTGATGGGGCTACTCTCCAAGAGCATATTTCTCCTTTAGGAAAATATACTTTTTAATATTTCTCCAAAATATTTCATTCTTCTAGGAGAGGGGTGGGTTGCTAACTTTCTACAATCCTTTTTTGCAGAGTCTGTAGATGTGGTTAAGGTGTCTATTGATGGCTGATTTGTCAGAGGGCTATGCTTCTAGAAATTCCCTGGCGTTTTGGGACTTGACCTGGTCTAGGGTCACATTTTTTTCCCCCATTGAAACTTATGGTTCAATCTATCCTATCTGTCGTGAAATTAAAAGAATTTTCGGTCATGTCTTCTGACTGTCTGATTTAGGTTACGTCGAGGACAGGGGAAAATACCGGGGTGGTGGTCCTCAACTTGAGACCACAATGGCGCCCCAAACTTCTGTTGCTCCATCCCTCCCTCTCTTTGTCTCATGCGTTCTCCCCTTTCTGCGAGCAGGATGAAGAGCTTGGAAAGATGAAAGAGGCACTGGAAAAAAATCATGAAGTCTGCCAAGAGCTAGAAGCCCTGAAGCAGGTGAGTCCAAGGACAGCTTCACCTGCCGGGACAAGGTGACTTCACTCCTTGCTGACTCACGCAACTCCTCCTTCACCTCCTCCATTTTTTCCTCCCGCAGAAATTAAAGATTCTCCAGGTTGCTACAGGAGAGAAGCCCTACGAAGGTTCCAGATCTGGAGATGTTTTCGAATCTCCTTGTGAATACATCCCTCCCAAGGTGGGTGATCTTGGGAGGGGGGTGTTATAGAGCCTCTTGAGGGAGGGGTTGGCATTCCCCCCCCCCCGGTCCTGTTGGCAGGGATTAGAAATAGGGAGGTGATAATATATTCTCCTTGGCCTTGTTAAACAGCAGCTGTGTACTGTACCCATTTAAGAGCAACCATGTTAACTAAACAAAAGTCTGCAATTTTTAAAATTAAGTCCATATTATTATTATTTAGTAAATTTATTTGCCACTCATCATGTTACAAGAATCCCCCAGCCAGCCTGTTTTAAAATGGATGCCCGTCAAGTCGAAGAATTCCCGATTCATCTTTAATAATGATGATGATACTTTATTGTCATTGTATCTATATACACAGCATATATATATACAACGAAATTCACATAACATCCAGAGACCAGACCCAATGTGTGTGTGCGCGGGTGCGCGTGCGCGCACACACACACACACACGACAATCCCCAAACACACTCCCAGCCTCCAAAATTCTCCACCCCCTAAAACACAGAAGCATCCTCACAACAGACCAAGTAGTACTGCCCCAACGGCTGACTGATGGTGGTCCTTAAGTTCATTGTGAAGTGCAATTATGGCTCTGGGATAAAAACCGTTCAGAAAACATGCGGTCCGAGTTTTAATTGTTCTGTATCTTCTGCCAGAAGGCAACAACTTCACAAAGATTGTAAGCAGGATGGGAAGAGTCTCCGAGAATGTTGTGCAACTTCCTCAAACAGCGAGGTGCAAAGATACCTTCCAGGGCTGGTAGCTGGAGCCCAATGATATTCTGGGCAGTTTTAATGATTCTCTGTAGGGCCTTTTTGTCCGCTACAGAGCTGCTCCCGTACCATGCAAGGATGCCGCATGTCAGGACACTCTCAATGGTGTTGCGGTAGTAGGACAGAAGTAGGTGCTGAGATAGATTGATCTCCCTGAGCATTCTCAGGAAGTGCAGCCTCTTCTTCTGTGCCTTCTTCACAAGCATGTTAGCATTCATAGTCCATGAGAGGAGATCCTCTGAGATAGAAGTGCCCAGAAATTTAAAACTACCAACCCTCTCCACCTCCTCCTCACCATTTACGTACAATGGTAAATGTACATCTCTCTTCCTCCTGAAGTCAATTATAAGTTCTTTAGGTTTTTTTTTTTTTTCGTGTTAAGTGTAAGATTATTTTCCTTACGCTACAGTGTCAGCACTTGTACTTCTTTTCTATAAGCAGACTCATTGTTCTTATTAATGAGCCCCAACACTGTTGTGTCATCCGCAAATTTGATAATTGCACTGGTGTTATTATACAATGGGGTGCAGTCATGTGTGTACAGAGAATAAAGGAAGGGGCTTCGTAGACAAACCTGGGGGGCTCCTGTGCTTAGTATCAGGATAGAAGAATGGTGAGATTCCATCCTTATTGACTGGCCTATCTGTCAGGAAGTCCTTTATCCACAAACAAATCCTCTGATTGATACCCAAATTGGACATTTTAAAAGCAACCTATTGGGTAGAATGGTGTTAAAGGCAGAACTATAATCCACAAATAACAGCCTTGCGTATGTTCCCTGTTGTTCCAAATGATTCAATACAGTATGGACAGCAATGGACGTAGCATCATCAGTTGATCTGTTACTCCTATATGCAAATTGGAATGGGTCCAAAGTAAATGGAAGTAGTAGATCTTGATGGGTGGACTTTGACTCCCAGAATTCCCCACTCAACATGGAGCCAGCAACTTTAAGATGGGTGGACTTCAAGTCCGAGAATTCTCTGGTCAGTTTGATTTAAGATGGATGGACCCGAATTCCCCAGCCAAAATGGCTGGCTGGGGAATTCTGGGAGTTGGTCCACCCCTTTTAAAGTTACAGAGACTTAGAAACACCATCTTAGTCTGTAACTCTGTGCTTCAAAGCTGCCTAAGCTAACCATCTGGAATATTCTTTGCTCTTCCTTCAACTCAAAACTCAGATTTTTTCCCTTCTTCTTGTTCAATCAAAGCCTCACTGGATGACCACTGCAAAGCCAAAATCCGAAATATGCACCGAGGAATTCTCAGATTCATACAGCTCAGTAGAAGAAGAAAAAGAGGAAAAGGAGTGGTTGCCGACCAAAGTCCCCCGAATCGTGAGGAACACTTTAGGAGTACGTGAGCAATGGAAAAAAATCACTCCTCGTGTCACTGTCCTCTAGTTTTCAGAAGACTGCTCCTGAACATGGAGGCTTGCCTTTTCTGTCTTAGCTAGCGGTCGCTGAGTTGAATGCCTTCTCTTTCTGTACAGAAAGCAGACAAGACAGGTTGGTCTCTTGAGCCCCCTGCACTCCTAGATATGAGTTGTAGAAGTAAGTGGGTGTCAAAGGAATGGTTTCAAATGGACAAGGCGATGTGCACTCGTGGGAGTGATCTGAAGGCCTCCATATTCCCAGGAGGGAAAGAGGTGATTGGCAGGATGCTAAACGTCAATCACTGGGAAGAATTCCCACAGGCTAGAATTCTCTTGAGCCCCAGGTCCTTGGAACGTGGGTTTCAAGCAATCCTTCCCTCCCTTCCTTCTTCCTCCTACCCTCCCTTCTTTCCTTCCTCTTTTCTATCTTCCCTCCCACCTTCCTCCTGTATAAACCTATATTAGAGATGGGCTTTTTCCTTTAGATTTTATTTTTTTTTGGTAAATTTTATTTTTGAGCTTTCACACACACACAAAAATACAAATAAAACATCTTTTTTGAAAGTAGCATAATCCCAGGTTACATTTTTTCGTACAGACACAAATTCAACTTCATGCTCATTTTTATGTTCTATTCCATATCTTATTACTGCTTTACATTTTCTGCATAGCTTCTCCCCTCTTTTAATTTTCTCAATTTTATTTTAATTATCTCATCTCAATTCAAATCATTATATTTATATTTTTTGTCTGTCCTGTTTCAATTATCTTTTCTCATTAAACAAAATTTCTCCTGTAGTTACTGATTGGAGTATGACGCCTTTATATCTTTTAAGTTTATTCATTTAACTCTTATTTAAGCTTCAATATATACCCTAAAGTTATAACATTCAATATAATACATAACTTCCATTCGGATTCTGCTTGGTACATTCTTAAAATACACACTAATTCTTAAAAAAAGAAAAAATATATAAATATATGTAATTAAAACAACACATTCCATTCCAATTCAATTCTATCATTAATATTAATATTCATTAAAATCTTAACTTCTTTAACATTACTTTTCAATTAAATATCATACTTCTATGGGGACAATTATAAGCTTTCCATAATTAATTCCCCCCCCTCACTTATATTTTATAAAACATTAACTAATTAAAATGTTCCCGTTCCTTCCTAATTCAATTTTCTCATTTATTTTATTTCACTTATTTTATTCACAAACATTTCACTAAATTACACTAACTATTTTATCCCTCATTTTAATCATACATTGTTTCCAATTTTCTAAAGTTATTTCTATTACTAATATAACAATACAATCTTATGTACCTTTACAGAATCCTTTTTTCAGTTAAATTTTCACCCATTATCTCTAAATAGGTCCTGTTTCTCTATATCTTGTTCCGGTCCTTTGTAACTTATCCTTTCCTTCTTCCCTCTTTTCTTCTCTCTCCCCTTTTTACCCCCTTGTCTCTCTACCTCTATTTCTCTCTTCTGTATTCCCCTTTTCTGTTGCTTTCCAGTATTATACTTATTTTTCAAATTATTTTTCTTTTCTTTGGTTGTTTTTTTAAGTCTTAAATTCTCCATTCTCTTTCCCCCCTTTCCTTTTTCTTCCCCACATAGAATTACTTGTTCATTAAAGATGGCTTCTTCTTTGTCCCAGTCTTCTTGTTTTGCAGTCTTGTTGTTTGTCATAGTTCCAAATCTCCATTTCTAAGAATTGAAAAACGAAGCCAAAAGAACTCTTCCCTTCTTGTGCATCTTCTTTGTACTTTTTAAGTTCCATTTTCAATTCATCCAGAAGTAGTGCCATTGTATAAATTTTTAAACAACCACCCGATTAATTTTAGTCATTCAAATATAATAACCAAGAATCCAAAGATCACCAAATAATCCAAATATACGCAAGCTGTTTCTTTTTGCTCTTGTTTTTCCACTTTCTCTTCCTGGGGTTACTATTTAGTTGCAAATTTCAGTTAAGATGTATCTTTTAGAAGTCTTGAAGTTTTACTGTAGATTCTTTTTAATTCCAGACAGTCTCCTCCCTCTTCCAGATCCTGCCCTTATTCTTTTTCTCTCCCTTCCTGCTTATGAAAAAAATGTTTTAGTGTTCAGAAATCTTTGTTATCCCTTTGACATTTTATTTTCAGCTTAATTGCCTGTTAATGTCAAAGCGGATTTTTCCAATTTCTTATTTAAGTCTCTTAGTTGTCAGTATAGGGAAGGAGAGAGAGGGGAAAAAAAAAACCTTTCCCTTTTCACTTTCCTTCGTTGCTTCCGACTCTTCTTTGGGAGCGATGTTATTTTTTTGTAAGTTTAAATTCCAGGGTACCTTAGTTGTTGCTTTTACAATTTAACCCGGTCAGCCAAAACTTTCACTTCTTATCTTCCTCCTGCACATTCTTTTCCGGTCGAGTTCTTCTTTGAGGTGGCCATTTCTGACCACCGCTCCTACCGCCTTCGGGAAAGGGAGTAATGGCCAGCTGGGGAGGAGAGATGTGGCTCTCCTCGACCCTGCTGGCAGTCTCCCCCCTCTTCACCACCTCTACGGGGTGGCTTAGCCCCGAAACCAGCAGGCTCGGGGCGCTCCAGCGGCGAGCCCAGACCGAAACCGCACACAAACACGGATTTCTGTCTGTTGCCGAAGAGACTTCAAACCGGAAGCCGGCTTTTTCCTTTAGATTTTTATTCCACCTCTTTTTCCCACATATAACTCAAGGTGAATAGGCCTAATACTCCCTCCTATTATTTTCCCAACCACAACCCTGTAAGGTAGGTTGGGCTGAGAGAGCGATACTGGCTCAAAGTCACCTAGTTAGCTTTCATGCCTTAGGCGGGTCTAGAACTCACCATCTCCTAGTGATTGGGCCCAGTCACCCAGCCAGCTTTCATACTTAAGGCAGGACTAGAACTCCCCGTCTCCTAGTGATTGGGCCCAAAGTCACCCAGCCAGCTTTCATACTTAAGGCGGGACTAGAACACACCGTCTCCTAGTGATTGGGCCCAAAGCAGGCATGATATTTTTCCGATTAAAATCGGAATTCCGATTTTTTTCGGAATCGCCCGGGCGGTGCGAGCGGCGGGCGCGCGCGGCGGTCGGTGTGAGCGGCGGTCGGTGCGGGTGGGCGGGCGCGTGCGCGCGGCGGTCGGTGCGAGCGGCGGTTGGTGCGAGTGGCGGGCGAGCGTTGGGCGGTGCGAGCGGCGGTCGGTGCGAGCGGCGGTCGGTGCGAGCGGCGGTCGGTGCGAGGGGCGGGCGAGCGGCGGGCGCGCGCGGCGGTCGGTGCGAGGGGCGGGCGGGAGCGCGCGGCGGGCGCGCACGGTGGGCGGGCGGGCGATTTCTTTGGCCGGCCCCGATTTTTTTTTCTGAGGGGAATATCATGCCTGAATTATTTTGAAATAATGTTTGGGCTAATACTTAGTAAACTATACTT